TTCCCAACAGTTTAATTATGAGGATAGTAGCAATCTTTTCAGTTTTTAAACACAAGTTAGTCTCCAGAACCTTAAAAAAATGTTTTGGTAATGATGTCTCAACAAAGAGTCCTCCATTTATAGTGTCATTAAAATGACTAGTATAAAAATTATATACACTGTAATTTTAAAGGCCTTTTTGACTGTGTTTAGTAGTGATCAGGCTGCTGGTTCATCTTGGGAGAGATCAAACTTCACTCTCGAGTTCCATTCCTGTGTGCATGAAACAAACAGCAAAACAGCAAAGTAACTCCAACTAGCTTGACTCAGCTATGCTTTCTGCCAGCAGAAGATCCATATAATGAGTTTTGAGGATTTGAAGTATTTGAACTTATTGAAGGATTTGAGTTTCCCAGCTGAGAACTCCCATTTACTGGGATCACTTTATCTTTCAAAATACCAGTACACTTCCAATTGTCCATATAATTAGCTTTCCACAACCTTACACAGCCGTCATCTCCTGCGGATGCTAGCACTGTTCCTGTTATGTTCCAACTCACCCTCCAGACCTGAGAGTTGTGATTAGCAAACTGAGCCACCATATGGATTTCAAGTTTTGTGGGACCACCAGAAGAAGTAAGTTCTTTCCTCACAGGTTTTAATGTGAAAATTCTTACATCTTTGGTGGCTATTGCCAGGATGTGGAAAGATCTCCCCAAATTTGGAGCAAAGGCAATATCATGAACAGGATCTGTTACTGTCATAAGAATTTCTGCTTTTGAGTATTTCTTGGTGTTTTCATTGTACTCAAAAATCTGAAACTTGGTCATTGCTTTTCGACTGCTGTCATTACTTCCCACTGCGATCATGGGGTAATGAGCAGGAGAGATGGAAGGGTTCCAAGAAATACAGCTACAGCTCAGCTTACTTGAGATCTCGTGCTGTAGAGACCACTGGCTGAGATTCATAACAGTTCTACTGTCCAGTAGAGTTGTCCTCTTCACCCAGTGACTCTGGCCTCCAAGTTTATCGTTTGATTCTCCTACTACTTCTTCCCAAACAACTGCTGTTCGGTCAAAAGAACAGGAAGCCAACAATTGTCCAAATTCAGGATGAGCCCATGTCACATGCCATACAGATCCACTATGTGTCTTCCAACTAGCAGTACAATGCCAATCGCCGCTTTTACTTTTATCCCAGACTTTGATGCTCTGGTCGCTGGAGCAGGTGGCCATCCGGTGCCCGTGAAAGTCGAAAGACACATCGTGGATGAGGTCCTTGTGGTCGGCCTCGATGCTGCGTGGCAGAAACATGGCCGCCCCTGCTGTATGCCCGGCCTGCCTCCTAGAGGGTGAAAAGTTGGCGGAGGGGCCAGCAGTCCTGGGACTGCTGCAGAGCACCACTGTGCCTTTTCTTTAATGGTGTTAAAACCTTGAAAATTAGTCTCTTTTCCATCATTGTATTGTTATAAGAAACTATTAGTGCTCCTTTCTTAAGAAAACAGAGACTTTCATATCTTCCTTCTTGTGTCCTTTTCACTGCAGACCTGAAAGAGTCAACAATAAAACCCATCAACAAAGACAATATTTTGTCGAAGGCATCAGCACAATAATCTTAAACGCAGCCTTATTCACTTTTGTGGAACCTGTAGAGATTAACAAAGATTTGGAGCCAAAATATAACACAAATGAACTCTAGCTAAATTTTTCATGAAATGTTCTAAGAACATGTGCTTAATTAAGAGGCCAAGATCACCCAATATTCAAAAAGGAATGAACTCAGGTTCTGTCTAGAAGGCCACAGCAAGACAAGGATATGGACACAGAGTAATACTCAAACTTCTA